GGGCTCAGGCAATCCACTCACCTCGGCCTCCCAAAGTGCTGAGATTACAGGCTGATAGGATTCTACTTTTTAAGAGATTACTACAAAAGGCAGTGTTCAAATATTTTGACCTAATGAATGTATTAAAAAAAAAAAAAGCTGCCAGGTGTGTGGTAGACAGAACCAGAGAGAGAGAGAGAGAGAGAGAGAGAGAGAGAGAGAGAGAGAGGAGAGAAGGCTAGTTGGGAGCGGAGGCTCATGCCTGTAATCTCAGCATTTTGGGAACCTGAGGCGAGAGGATTGCCCGAGGTTAGGGGTTCGAGACCAGCCTGAGCAACATGGTGAGAACTCGTCTCTACAATAAATCAAAAAATCAGTTGGGCATGGTGGCCCATGCCTGTGGTTCCAGCTACCTGGAAGGCTGAGGCTGCAGTGGCCATGAGCATGCCACTGCACTCCAGCCTGGTGACAGAGTGAGACTCTGACACACACACACCACACACACACACACACACACACACACACAATAGGGAAGGATCATCTGAGTCCAGCAGGTAGAGGCTGCAGTGGTGTGAGCGAGCCACTGCATGCCAGCCTGAGTGACAGAGTGAGACTACAACTCAAAAAAAAAAAGCTATTAGTGTTAGTGGGGACTCACACCTATAATTCCAGCTCTGGAGGACGCCAAGGTGGGAGGTTCTCTTGAGGCTAGGAGTTCAAGACCAGCCTTGGCAACAAACCAAGATCCTTGAGTCCACACTATATACTTATATATATTTAAGTCTATTTAGTGAGTAATTAATATATTTATGTCTCACAACTGGAGGATTTTTAGAGAAATGTGATTTTTTAAACCTGTTTTTCCTTATACTTCATAGAAAATTAAAATATCAATGTTTACCATAGTTGTGTGTGAAAACAGATTTTGCCACTGCTGAAATCACATGATTATTATCCAAGTGTTTTTGGAGGCCTAAGTAAGTGAGGCAATGGCTTGTTTATGACTAAAAAAAAGAATCTGAATCATACCGAAACAAAAACACACAACAAAGTACATACTGATCTTGAAATCTGTTGTACATGTGGCTAGCTCACGGATCATACTCTAGGAACTGTTGGATCTGCAGTGCAATAGAAGAGGCAATCTTAGTCATTAGCAATTTGTTACAATGGGCCAAGGTAGCAAATGGAAGAACAAAGAACTCTAACTTGCAGTTGCTCTTTTCCACTAAAAATTAATTTCCGAGCTGCGATTGCTCAGTGTCTAGGACAAATAGTTCCTTGAAAATTTCCTCCATGTCTTTGAACTTTTTTTTTTTTGAGTTGGAGTCTCACTCTGTCACCCAGACTGGAGTGCAGTGGCCGCTCCCGGCCACCGCAGCCTCGACCTGCTGGGCTCCGGCGATCCTTCTGCCTCAGCCTTCCAAGTAGCCGGAATTACAGGCGTGCGCAACCGCGCCCGGCTGATTTTTTGATTTATTGTAGAGATGAGGTCTCACTGCCCAGGCAGGTCTCGAACTCACGGGCTCAGGCAATTCACTCACCTCAGCCTCCCAAAGGCGCAGGATTACAGGCTGAGCCACTGAGCCCAGCTGTCTTTGAACTTTGAAGTACTCATGAGCTGGCAATATATATACTAAGCACGCACAACTTATTTCCACAAAAAGTATGATCACCATAAATTTTATATCTATTTGAAGGCTCAAAAGAGAATCTCACATCATCTTGGTGGAAAAGATGGAATAATTAGAACTGGTGGGTAGTTCATTTGGATAAATTTTTAATTGGATCTAAGAACTTATTTATTCCTAAAAAGCCCATGAGGGTCATAATAATTTTGTTTACAATTTACAAAGGATGAAACAAAAGCACAGAAATTTACCTTAAGAAATGTATAACCAGCCGGGCTCGGTGGCTCAGCCTGTAATCCCACTCCTTGGGAGGCTGAGGTGAGTGAATTGCCTAAGCCCATGGGTTCGAGACCCGCCTGGGCAACTTGGCGAGACCTCATCTCTACAATAAATCAAAAATTAGCCGGACGTGGTAGCGCGCGCCTGTAGTTCCAGCTACTTGGAAGGCTGAGGCGGAAGGATCGCTGGAGCCCAGCAGGTGGAGGCTGCGGTGGCCGGGAGCGGCCACTGCACTCCAGTCTGGGTGACAGAGTGGGACTCCAACTCAAAAAAAAAAGAAAAAAAAGAAATGTATAACCTGCTAGTGTTCATCCCATTTATAAATGGTGCTCCTCAGCTGATCAGGTCCCCAGAACAGGAAACATCCTTGATTCTTTTTTTTCATCCTCATGCTGGGTAGGGGGCTTAGCAAAACTTGTGGATTCTTTGGCTCATCCCTAAAATGGATTTTAGAGCGGCCAGCAAAGTTTTAAAACAGAGTTTATTAGTGAGAAGGAAAAAAAAGGAAGAGTCATGGCAAAAAGTTTCTCAAAAAAAGAAAAACAAGGCGTTTGCCCTCAACTACAAGCTAGATAATAGCTATCTGGTTATTGATATGCTAATGAGGGTGGTGCACAGGTAACTGCCGGGCTATCTCTGCCTCTGGTAGGAGGAAGTGTGGTCTTATGATCATTTCTATGGTTTTGATCTGTTAAGGGGTGGGATTGAGCCTTTCACTTTCAGCAGGGAACCTGAAGGATTTTTAGTAATTACAAGCTGAAAGGTATTCTTACATCTGATGGGATTTTCTTTTGATTGGCTGAGGGAGTGAGGTCGGCTGCCAGTTTGGTCTGCAGTAAAATGTAACATTTTTTTTTTTTTTTTTAGTTGGAGTCTCACTGTGTTGCCCAGGTTGGAGTACACTGGCATGCTCACAGCCACCGCGGCCTCAACCTGCTGGGCTCAGGCCATCCTTCCACCTCATCCTTCCAAGTATGGAAAGATGTGAGTCACCATGCGGGGCTAACTTTTGATTTATTGTAAAGTTGCCCAGGCTGGTCTTGAACCCCTGGTCTCAGGCAATTTTTTCACCTAGTAAAATGTAATCTTAAAAATGTCTACATGCTTCCTAAAACTTACCTTAGGGAAATTTATCTATATCTAACCAGTGCTAGCTATCCTACCTCAATCCCACCTATTTTGTTGTCGAATGCATTTTGTTTCTTGTGTTAAACAAAAATTACAGGAGGCCATTGTTTTGAACTAAAAATCAAAATGGAGTCACCCATGTCCACCAATCCCAAACTGAGGTGTTACCGGTCTTTGAGAAACCAAGAGAAAGAGCCTAATTTCTCAAAGGCCTGTTCCAATCTTCCATAGGCACGGTAATTAAAATTGTCTTTTGAGAAATGTAGGACACATCTTAAAAGGCCCCTTGTGGAGATCCGTGGAGTGGAAGAAGATAAACATCTGAAATTTTTTTATTAGTCAACGTTCAAACGTTAGGCTAATACTAATGGCACACTTTGAGTGTTCTCTTTATTCGCAGTGACTGAGCATCTACAGCAAATGGGTGGTTTCTTGGTTACAGCTATATTTATGTCTCAATTTCCTATCTATATTTATACTTACATCTATATTTATCTCGAGACTCTCAATGTATAACCTGCTAGCGATAGCTGTGTATCTCCCGTGAGGTAGTTTTTCTACTGAACTTTTCCCTCCTCCCTTGTTTCAGTCAATTCGTTACAAACACCGTGCTTGCTTTTTTTTTTTTTTTTTGAGTTGGAGTC